TTACACATTTTATCATTTTATCATAAAACTTTGTGTATACCCAATCATTTATTTTTGGTTGAAAATGTAGGATGTCTTTACAACAGCAACATTTTATCTGATTCTGTCATGGAGGATTGTCTGCTTCAAGGACTGCTGTATTCTATAATTAATCACAATCTGTAACAACTTTCTCTTTTTTTGATGTGTGCAGTTCACATGTATTATGTATCATTGGGTCAATTCCAAAAAATGTGCTTGGTAAATAAATTATCTTGTGGATTTCAAGGTCATGTTGTAGTTGGTTGAGATTTTTCTTGCATTAAGAATGTGTTAAAAGCCCAGCTAAAAGATATATTATTTTGATTTTTAAATAGAATTTTCCTGAAACAGTCAGAAACTGTAGTTCCACTGGATTAATCCACAATTCGTGAGCGTTTTGTGTTCCAAAGTTTCTAAAGTAAAATATACCTCATCAGGTTTTGGAAACATGCATTGTTGGTCTTGGATTTTGCATTGAATTTGTCAACTATAAGAGATATACATAAAAAAATATTTCATGTCCCTCTCTCATTTTTAGAGACTACAAAGATGTGGAAGCAGCCTTAAACGCCATGAAGAACGTGGCAAGGCTGATCAATGAGAGGAAGCGGCGCCTTGAGAATATTGACAAGATCGCCCAGTGGCAGAGCTCCATAGAGGACTGGGAGGTGTGGCACAAGCATCTGTGTTGCTTTGTTCTGAAATGATCTCTCACTGATTGTAGTAACAGTGTGTTTGTGTGTGTGTGGATCCATGCAGGGTGAAGACATCCTCAGTAGGAGCTCTGATCTCATCTTTTCAGGGGAGTTGACCAAGCTGTCTCAGCCTCAGGTCAAGAGTCAACAGAGAATGTTTTTCCTTTTTGACCATCAGATGGTGTACTGCAAAAAGGTGCCTGAACTTTTTAAACTGTATTTCACACTGTTTTATACTGATAACTGCATGTGAGAAGACTCGTGATAAAAGGAGAAACAAAGTAAAGTTGTAGTTGCTGTAACTGGATGGCAAATTAATTTCACCCCTCACAGGTCAGTATTTGTGGCTTGTCACTCTCAGTATTCAGAGTTAATATTGGTCCAAGTCAAAATTGTCCACACTCAAATACAGTTAGTACAATTCAATTCTAATCCAATTGACAGAAATCTAGACAAACATTTGTTGATTTGTTGATTCAAGCTAAATTTTTACTTTTACTTAAAAAATAAGAACTACTTTTCAAACTTCTCCTCACTTAAAT